CGTGTGCAATGGAGCGCGAGGTGTCATTGGAGGGTTCTGGTATTCGTAGGCTTTAGTTCAAGATGTCTGTTACGTTCGTGACCCACGGCCATGTCGGGAGCCGAGTGGTTATGGTGTTTGAGCTAGGCAATCTGCGTGGTACACGTCGAGGGCATGAGTTTGAGTTCATGAGTGCGGTCACGAATCACCAGATTCGTCATTACGAGCTTGATGCTCATGGGGAATTGGCTTTGCGCTTTGTGATGGGGTTGGGTTATGCAGAAGAATATCTTCGCGAGGTCATAGTGTATGTGACAAAGGTTCATAAGGACGTCCTAAATGCCCACGTTGGTGATGGAGAGGATACCATTGAGTCTATGGTGCGTTTGGTAACGTCAGCTGTGTTTCTCGAGCATGGTGACTTCTTGTCATCAATAGTGGAGTGGTCGGCTATACTAGATCCTCCGCTAAATGGACGAGCCTATATGGACGGAGACCTTCAGTGAGCAAGTCATGGGCGGTATTCTTTGTTGTTTGTATGGGATGCAGATTTCCAGTGTTATAAGGCTGCGGGGTCAAGAATCCTTATGTAGAGAAGAAGAAGATGGCGATGTCGTGAAGAGCAGAAGCGTTGGGTTTTATCGAACTTTCTAATTGGTCGATGTCCATGGGGCATGACTAGTCTTAGTTCTATTAGTACTATCTACTAGTCGTAGGTATATCATCAGGCATACACTATGTTTTTTGTGGTGATTAGAGCTTTATGATACGGGAAAAGTATTTGTTCGTAAGTCGATTTAGTGTTCCACCGTTAACCAGGTGGTCACTGTTAACTGAGGGGTTTTCTATATTTGTACGTAGTGTTATCTACTAATAGTGTGTAATCTTCGTCCTCTGTAATAGATCAATGGCGGTTTTTTTTTCAGGGGGGGGGGCGTTTTCGTTTAGCTGGTTCAATTAGTGGTTGTAATAAGGGCGTCTAGTTTGATAATGAAATTTTGAGTTGAATGCGGGTTTTCGCTTCGCCTTTTCTTTGTGATGGGTAAGATGTTCATAACACGGTGCTTTTTAAAGAGTTTCATGTGTACTTCGATCCAGGAAATACCTTTTGTTTTACCTATCGTAAGGTAGAGTTAGTGCGTCAATTGATTTTCATATATCTTTGTTCGTTATGTGATTAGTCCGATCGTGTGGCTTACGTGGATTAAGGATTTGTTGTTGATGGCATATCGCATTCCATTATCGCCCAAAGTTTTCTGATTGGAGATAATCTTAAGAAATTCATTATAATATAGTTAGCAAATATCTTGTTGTTTTTGGCAAATTTCTCTGATGTGTGTTTCTGTTGAGGTTTGTGTTTTTCGGGTGAAGTTATCTTTTGCGACGTGCCCCTTGCTATGTGTGGTATGGTGTGGTTTTCCAAAGTCTTGTGTCATTATATTTTTGATGTTGTTCTCATCGCTAAACACACAGGGATATTTGACCGTTGATGACATAGCAGAATGAATTTGGAAACTCATGTCGGGTGTTATCAAGAGTGAGAGACTCTTAAGTTCTTTGAAATGATTTTTTTTTAAAAAGGGGGTTAGGCATGATTTCCGTGTTTCAGTATTTGACGATGATATCACGAAGGGTTTTCGAGAAAAGAGATGTGGCTACAAGCGACGTTTATGAGCATGTGAGAGTCGTGCATGCATGTCATAACATATTTTCAAATTATAAGGACGTTTTTTTTGTCTAACGCATATCCTATTGCTCACATGGTTCGTTAAGTAACGGGTAATGGTGGGAGAGGGCAGGGTGGGCGTGATTTAAGGTAGGATATCATTTTTTAGTGTGTTAATCTTAGGTCAGATGAAACGTCCTTGTCAAAAACGGTCTGATTGTTTTAAGGTGTTTTTTGCCTTGTGACTAAAGGGTGTTTTTGCAAAAGATTGTAATTATCGATTGTATTTGATTGCGTATATGTTTCATAGGGATACAAGATCGACGTAGGGCAACATCGTAGAAATTATGAGAGAAATGTGATAGGAAGAGGAATAAACGTTAGTGTCGAAAGTGTGATTGAGATAGGAGAACAGCTCGTTTTGTGAAGAGAAGGGGGAGGAGAGGGGTGTGCGGAGGAGGGAAGTAATACATTATGTCATTTTATGAAAAAGAAAGAGTGATATATCAGTTAGGTGCGCCTACATAATTAGAGTGTGCAATAGAAAAAGAGGGGAGAAAAGAGCTTTAGGCAGTATCGAGGTGAGTGCGTAGACATGAAAAATACGCATTCGGGGGAAAAAAAGGGGAAAAAAAAGAGGGGGAAGCGAAGGGGAGAGAGAGAGAGAGAGTGAGAGAGTGAGAGAGAGAGAGAGAGAGAGAGAGAGAGAGAGAGAGAGAGAGGGAGAGAGAGAGAGAGAGAGAGAGAGAGAGAGAGGGCCGGCAAGTTACCAGTCCCTCAATATTTTGGATGCACGGTATCGAGTGAATTCGGTTGCTACAAAGTAGACATGCACATTATTTAACTTTCGTACGTGCGTGTGTAGAGCGTGAGGGAGAAGGAGAAAGGGGGGGAAAAAAGATGGGAAGGGGGGGAATTGTAAGTGCGTAGACAGAGAAGACAAAGGGGATACGCGGTTGGGGGGAGGCAGAGAGGGGGTCCGCAATTCTCCGGTCTTCTTGGCGAACCTGTAGCATTTCTATCGAGTAGGATATGCGATATTGAATGGTTCTGCTGCTATAAGGTAGAAATGCACACTATACTCCCATCCATTTGTGTGTGTTTTTGTGCGTGTGCATGTGTGAGTATGTGTGTGTATGGCTTGGTGGGTGATTTTATTGGTCAGATGAGCAAAACCGATTTATATCAATTGCGCGAGTGTGTAAGTATTACGCGGCAGATTACCTATTATCACCAACCATAGTATGAGCAAGAGAAACGAAGTTAATACTAGAGCATAGCAATCGGCACGACTACGTATCCTTATGTGGATATATGAGTACACGTGTGGGTATGTATGTGTGAGGGGGAGAGAGAGAGAGGGAGAGAGAGGGAGAGAGAGGGAGAGAGAGGGAGAGAGAGAGGGGTAGAGATTGTCTTCTTATACCGGAGATTATTATATCGTGATTCTCGGGGAGAGCTTGTATACCTCTATTGTCATGGAATCTAATGTCATTACTACTATCGTTTTTTTATTTTCGCGAGATTCGACTGAATACATCTGGGAAAACGAGGGCACTACTGCGTGAACGGCCAGAATGTCAAGGAAAAGGAAGGTCCTGGAATGCAGACGGGGATCATGTGGTAGAGGAATGGGGAAGGATTCGTAATGGCAGGGTTGATATCACGATGGTCGGGAGGGAGGGAAGATTTGTTGTGGCATGATACTATGGTATCTTATCTGGATTTTTAGGGGGGGCACTATCGCGATGGTGTATAATCCGATCATGCAATTGGGCAAGACTACAGAGAGGTTATTGAAAATGGAGTTGGTGTACATTTATGGGTGGCAGGGTACGGGCATATAATTACAAAGTTATTATAGGCCATGGCGGGTGAGGGGGAGGTGGTGGGGAGGTTAGGTGGGAGTCTACCATTGGTTAAGTGAGGGATTTTTAGTTAGATATTGTGGTTGGAATAAATTTATAGGTGCTGGGCTAGCTAGGATACTGGGCTAGAGTCGACCAGGGTGAAGGAGGGGGAAGGGGTGGATAGGTAGATAGGCGCGCGAGGGAATTTTATCAAGTGTAATGTAGATATAATTATATGTGTAGAGGAAATTTTCAAACTTGGATTTGACAGATAATGGTGGGGGAAGGGGAGGTGGTGGGGAGGTTGATAGAATTGCGAGCGAGCTAGATCACGTGTAAGATAGATATAAATTGTAGGGGAAATTTTTTAGAGCAGGGCTCTGACTGGTAGATTTAAAACTCGGTTCTCAATCGTCAATGGGAAATCATTCGATCATTGACACGAAAGATCATAGACACAGAAACCTGACCGTATGGTCAGACAAAGCAAATACAGTCGAATTAACAAGGTATTTAAGTGCAAGAAAAAACGTGTGTGCATGCGTCCTGGTTGCCTACACGTGGTAGGCAGTGTATATCGAAAAGCAGATTCGTTAGTATAGCGATTTTCGGAAGACATCTTGCAATCATGAGCATCAGATGCATACATTCTACCTTGGTTGTCAAAAGTATCCCAGTGGCATACACACTTGATCCACCCGTATAGAAGCAAAACCGCACAAACGGTACTTGTTGTGATGAAAAGAAATCTCACTGATACACAAAAGTTTATCATAACATTCCTACAATGTTCCTTCCATGATTGTTAATGCAAACTCAAGCATGGAATCGATCATAGACACAAAAGAGTTGTTAGACATAGAAACGTGACCATGTGGCCGGACACAACAAGAAGTGAACGATGAAAGAGACCTTCGACAATTTCTATATAGACGCATGATTTTATATGTGAAGTGGCGTCCTAATGTCGCTAGTGTAGCGCTATCAAGGACTTCTTGCTATTCTCAAAAGACCAAAGTGTGTAAATAGTGGTCAAAGCGAAGCGCGAGGATACGACAGTGTATATACATGATGGGAGTAGGGAGGGCAACGTATTAATAGTGTCATTATATCGTATCTATTACTGCTCAGGGGGTTTTGGGTGAAAGGGAGGAGTGCGAGCGGTTTAGTGTTTTTTTGCTAATTATGCGCTTTAAGGTAGGACGAATTTATTACTCTATTTGCATTGTAGTCATACTTGAAGGGCTTAGGTGGTAGATCATAGGCGGATGTTAGTATTATAATACGATATGTTACAACTGTGGGTCAGGAGGTGATGGGTGCGCGAAGTGGATGGGATAAGATAGGGGGGAGTGATATTTTTGTGGTTTGATAGACGTCTGGTCTTAAAGAAATATATGTATATGCAGGTTTTGGTCACAAGGGGCGGGGGAGGGGGTGGTGGTGGGGAGGTTGATGTAGTGCGTCGTGGTAAAGCTAGGGATTTATATTAAGAGTGCATGGGCTTCTTGATCCTGCATCACCGGATATACCACGACTAGCTTAAAAGATAAAAGCAAGCTATGATGCGTGTATAGCAGTTCCGTATGTACTGTGAGGTGGGGAGTCTACCCACACCATTGTATCAAGGCTGAATAGCCAGTGTGTGTGTTCTGAGACGAATTGCGAAGCAATTGCACAACGTGGCATAGCCAGAAATAGTATCGAAATGCTTTTCACCCATGGTCACAGACAGGCATGGCATCATACCAGAGTGTCGCTTGGGTCTCCTTCGTGCACCCGCAGTAATAGCACACCATTCTCTTATGTTCACAAAGCCTTTCATCAGACCGCATTCATGGGGGTAAAAGAAAGGGGGAAAAAAAGGGTGAGGGTGTGGAGGGGGAACGGGCGAGAGAGAAAGAGAGAGTGAGTGGGGAAGTAGTAAGAGGACCTTCTTCGATAGGACCAATCTCCACATCAAGGAAGGAATGGCGCATCCCTGAAGCGCTTTTCGCCGTTTGCGCCAAACGGCTCATCACAGGGTATGGAAGGCAGAGCGGCTTTCTACATCAACTAGTCCAATTACTAGAGGAGTAGGGGCGACACTTTGAGGCCTAAGAGTGGGATAGAGTAGAAGGAGGGTATAAAGGGGAGAGGAAAAGAACAGGTGTGTATGTGAGAGGATGTGGAGAGCTGCTGAAGGTGTGGGTGGCTTACCACTTCCACTAGACCGATTACCAGTAGAGTGGGAGCGACTCGTGTAGCGGATAGGTAAGTGCGTGGACATGGTGTGTAATCAGTCAGGGGTAGATAAGGGTACAAGACTTATTTGTAGTAGGATGGTTTTTATTTCAGTATGGGGGTGGGGGAGATGTTGGTGATGGTGGAGGGGGTTGGAGGGAGGAAGGGCATTCATTACCGCATGGGCGTTGATCTCGGCGTCAGTGACTTATCCGTCCGCTGCAGAGGCCATGGCGGACACTATAGGAAAGTCAGGTAGTTCCGTTGCTACTCAGTCGAGGTTGCTCCGTGAGATCGGAGTGAGCTGCTGTGTCAAGGTTCCACCTTGGTCACGTTGTGTGTCCAAGGCTCTTCTTGTTCACATGCAATAGAGATTGCTGCAGAAGGCTGGAGCTTGCCTTAGAGCGGCAGTCGCTATCGCGAGCAGATATCTCCAGTAAGTTGTACCGGTGCCTGCGAACTAGTCTGTACCGCGAGAGCATATCGAGGCATGGGGTTGCCGGTCGAGTGAGGAATTCTGCCGTTCCACGAATATATTTATAGGTCGTATGCGCAGTATTGGTGTGTGTTCGGTCGTTTTGCACGTTTTTTCTAAATGTGTATTATTTCATTTTTCTTGAGGTGTTTTTTTTTTTTTTTTTTTTTTTGCCTTTGTGGTATGCTATATGGTGAGCTAGCCTGGGTGGTTATAATTTTTATGATGTATCGGGGTGGGTGGGAGTGTTTTTGTTTTCTAGTTGTAATTTTGGCGGGGTGTTTAGCAGTGGGTGGGTTGCGTATTTTAATGGGAGGTTCTCTTTTTTGTCCGAGAGTTTTTTTTTTTTTTTTTTAAATTGCATTTTTGCAGGTGCTTTTGTCTTATATACTGGTTATGACGGGGTTTGCTATGACAAGGTTGCTCGTGTCGTGCGGGCTTGATGTCGTTTCGATGTTTTTATCGTGTTTTGCTTCTTGTTTTTTTTTGTGACAGTGTTTGTTTTCTTTGTTTCTTTTTGCGCATACTCACATTAGTATTGATTCCAATGTATCCGAACGCATTCACGAACATATGTGGATGTATCAGACCGCAAATTTGAAAAAAACGTCATAGTGTGCGTATGCCTTTTCTCTATTAAAAAGTTTTTGTTTTGGGGTTTTAGTTTTCGTGCCCCTCTATTTCTTTTTTACGGGAAGGGGGGGTGGGTTTTTTTTTTGGGGGGGGGCATGCGTGGTTTGCAGACACCTGTATTTGCTTAGTATTTACATGGGAAATTGTATTCTTCATAAGGGGGGGTGTGTGGGTGCAGGTTTAGTGGGCATGTATCAGAATGTTAGACTAAATTGGGGTGTTTTTTTTTTAT